TCGCTCATGAAAAAAGAAAATGAAAGTAATCCTTCTCTCTAATAAGAGAATATCTTTTTGTATTAATTAGCTTTCAAAACTAGACTTGGAATAAAGACTCTTAAATATTTTGATAGAGAAAAAGAATTGTAAATTCACAATGTATGACTATCCTACAATGGCAATCCATACAGAAGTTTTCATTGTGTACTACTTATTTTCAAAATATCGATCGTTGAAAATCGTCTAGAGTAGGTTATTCCTTTGTATTACACTGAAGTAACACTAGAAATAAACATAGATATAGACCTAAATTCAGGAGTATCCTAAGTCTTATATCGATATTTGAAGAAAACAGAATCCTATCGGTTTCAATCAAAAATACTAGCAGAAATTGGATCTCATCTCTCCCGAGCTAAAAAGACTTCTTTCATGGATTGCAACTCTGCGAAAAAAATCGATTATTTTGTTATGATTGATTGTGGATAAGACAAGCGCATTTGTCGCAAATTAGATTTCCAGTTAATATTTAACAGCATGAAAGCTCATATTGAAAGAATAGATGCATGCTGAAGCGTCTTCTTTTGAACATAATTAATGAGACTTCGGATAAATAATGTCACTATTTAAGTGAGAAAAATTCTTTGAATCATATCAATCATTTTCAGACATTGAAAAAAAACTTATCGTTTGTACACGTGAGTCATATACATAATGATGGTCAAATTTTTTGTATTCGTAACCAGTCTTATCTTGGTAGTTCAAATCAATGGATTTCCAACATCACAAGTAAGTTTTAATGCTAGACGATTATTTCTTGAACAAAATATGGTTTTCTTTTCTTATTCAAGGATACAGAATCAAATCAAAACACGCCTGAAGAGAACCGTAAGTTACGAAAGAATATGTCGTTTGAATATCATTTCTATTTGAGGTTGTCTGATTCATAGTCAACTGAATTACTTAACACAGCCATCATTAGATAGCGAGAAATCAATAATAACTGATTAGTCTAATGCTACGACTCACGAATTCAATCGAAGGCACATAGTTGAGACGAAAGCCAAATGAAAAAAGTTCTCAGAACAATCCCTTGGCGATTGAGGTATGAGAAATGATGGAGCCACTTTTGTTATCTTACAAAGACCTTGTAAATATTGGTCATGACTCCAGACAAGATGTAAATGGAAGCATGTCAAAATTACAGTCACGTTCTGTGAAAAGGTTCAAAATACCTGATTTAGGAACTCAAGAAAGTTTTACTTCAGGACTATAAATCTATTAATTTTCCAAAAACCTTTTTAAAATTCAATGTACGGCCATCAAAATATCCAATGTCTTTTGTAACGGTAACCATTACAGAGCTGAATCTCGCTTAGCGTTAAGATGTCTGAGTTTTTCGCATTGAGTATTGAAATATCAAGTGTAATTTTTTAGAGTTATTCAAACCGCTCAAATGTTCGTTACGTTAGTTAAAATAACAAAATGATGAACTTAAAAACGTGTATTGTCGTAATCGAATTCTTTTGTGTGTCAGTGAAAGAAGTGCCAATCGCTAGTTAGTTCCAACCAGTAAGACAGCAAAATGAATAGTTTATCAAGAACTTTGAATTTTAAGTAGTTATAAAGAATATTGACTTTAACCATGATTCTATTCAGAAAACTCGAAAAAGTATGCATCCCTCGCACCTACATTTACAATAAAGCTTCCAAGTGATTAGATGCGATTGTATTGAAATTCAACCATAATACTGAACCCACATTTTTTCAAATACCATAGGAAAACTTACAGATCAACCTCTACAGGTTTGTCAATATTAGATCAATTTTACTATAGAAGTATAACTTATTTTAAAGTCTTTCGTACTCTTTTTGAAAAATATGAGTGGAAAAGAGCATTAAAGTATGTAGAGAGAAAAGTGAAGTCTCATCCTGGCACACAGACTGCGATAAACATATCGGTATATGGGTTCTTTGTAACAGATGAGAGCTGTTTTTTAACTACATCTACGACCATGCAAGACACTTCGACACGTTACTTTGAATTTGTGAACGTCAGTCATGTAGAGTTCATCAATTCTAAGTTTCATAGTCAAGAAGTTCAGAAAACATTTCTCTGTTCTTTCTTGGGATATGGTCTTTGGAGCTCTATCACATCCTATAGCAAGCATGTTCGTATGATATTTTGGATTTAAAATGAATTTTTGAACTATTGATAGATATGAAATTAACAGATCAAATAATTTGAGTTTTTCTTGCTTGAAGTATCATTTTGCAATCTCTGTTCATTTATAACTACGCAATAGACCTATTGTAGTCCACGTTTTAATCCTATATGAGTTTGCTGAAAACTTTTAATTCTCTGTTTCAACAATTCAAAACTCTGCAATTCATACAAAGCAATCGTTAAGGAAATCGGCTAATAGGAGAGAGCATCATTCGGTAAGATATAAGGAGGGAGAGTGCATGGAAAAGTGGTACTTTCCATGTGATGTCGAAGGGCATTATTGGGGGGGGAAGAGCAAAAACAATGACATGTAGGGGAGAGTGGTGTTAGTGTCAAAAAAATCTGGTAACGTCCTCTGCGAACAGCCCTAAAGACCTACATACCTATCAAATTTTAGCCGGTTTAAAAAGGCAACAAGTATCTAGTTTCGAATAAATAACAAAAACGGCTCAATCTTTTATTGTAAACAATAGGCCGAAAGATGCAATTGCATTGAAATTATCCCTTTTGCGTATGCAAAAATGGTACAGTTCAAAAACTCAATAGAAATTGAAAAAGGAGCTCTTTTTGCAAGATATGTAATTAATATGCTGTCTTTACGCATACCAAGTTTATACTCTAATCTAGTGATTATTTTTCGAGAAGAGAGCTTAGCTATGGCTATAGTTATTGAAATTCTACCTCAGAGCTGCTACTGTAACTCATTAACTACATGAATACAAGAAATATAACTGATGAACATAGTTCAAAGTTTTGCTGAATTGAATAGAAAGTTTTTTAAAAATTCCATGTCATCAATGAATATCATTCAACTCCGATTAGAAGAATCAAAATGTTTTACTCCTATTCAAGAAAAAGTATTTGAGAGAAAACCATTCGACTGGAAATGAATATTATCAAATAGTACTAGGATAAGTAACTCATTCCAAATTAGTTACAGTGCACATCAAATTCTGATCTACATTAGAATACAATCATTTTCAAAAAATCATTTATTTATAATAAACGATGATACATAAAGATACTATATCTTTTGAGTTCTTCTAGGTAATGGTACACATATACCACGTTTGTTCTCCTTTCACCACATAGGTCATTCATAGAATAAGGGAATCTGCTCATTTTAAAAATAGAATTGATCGATGTTGTATCTTTCGATCAATGGTGTAATTGTGACGAAAAAACTTGGATTCTTTCTAATATCGCCGGAGAACAGGAACAAAAAAAAGAATACATCATCTACGATTGATGCGAAATTAGAGTAGAAATATTTGTTTTGAGAATAAAGCCTTTACTCAGTTGTACCATTACAAGTTACTCTTGCCTTTTTAGCCGACTTGTTCGAAGGTGACATGCTATTTCCAGCTTCAGTGAATCCGATGGACGTAAGTAAATCATGAACTTTATAATCTTGATCGCATTAATCTATCTCTATTCCTATCAAAACAAGCGTGGAGTAGCACTTGGTGGGACTGGAGTAGCTTGGACCAATGGGGTTGTACCTTATGAAATCGCATCAGGATATAGTAAGTGTCTGTTTGCCACTAGAAATATTTGCAAAGACTAATCATCATGCCATTTATTGATTTAATAATTGACTTGTCAGTCTAAAAGTAGTCGATTTTCTTTTGACTATAATAGATTCGGCGCAAGAAACATTTATTATTGCTGCAATGGAAAAACTTGAACGTCTAATAGCGATCAATAATGTACAATGTATTCGATTTCGACCAAGAATTTCTTCTGATCCATATTATATTACGATTGTTAGAGGATCAGGTTGTTCATCTTATGTAAGTAAATTGATCATTCATATGGCTTAAAACATCTCTATATGTATTTGGCAAAACTTTCCTTTGATGTCATTTTAGGTTGGACAAAATACCGGCGTTAATATGAATCGCACAGTGACACTCCAATATCCAGGTTGTTTTGTTGAGGCCATCATAATGCATGAACTATTGCATACACTAGGTAATTGTGTATAAAAATTAAAATTCAAGTTTTGTTGTGGAAGTCAACATCTAACAAGAAATAGAAAAAAGGAGTTTAGATATTTTATTATAAGTGAGATGAAGTTTTAGTCAAGATCAGTTTTAATCGTAGGACAAAGTTTTTCAGTATCAATCCAAAATTTGATTTCATTCAACATATCAATCATATTCGGTTTATTTAATCTTGTTCCTCAAATTTTTTTTGAATTATTTTTCATCAAACTTTTCCAATCATTGGTATACAGATTTAAACTAGAAGTCACTGAATTATATCGTGCTTTCTAGATGACGTTTTTTATATCTTTTTGCGATCATACACGACTCTGTCACGAATAAAATATAATCATTTTGTTAAACACGATTGTTTATGAATGCAGAGTTATGTAGTGGAAAACTTGGATCGATCTTGGCCTATTCGATAAGCTTCAACAGACATTTGACTAAAAGAAAGAAAGAAAGAAAGTAGCCTTCGAAATTTTTTTTTAATAACTAAATTTTACATTTGGAAAGAAAGATAAACAAAAGTATGCTTGTTTCCTATTCTTTTGATCGATATGAGATGGTTTACTCTTCGTCCTGTGTTGTGAAAGACAGATTGACATACCCGTCATATAATACGAACATTGTTAGTGAATATGCATGAAATTAGCTTTCATTAATTGTTAGACATTTTGTATGGAATTTTACTTGTAAATTGAACAGAAAAATAAACAGAAAACTATTTTGCTTTTCAACCGGTCCAATTCATGCGTAAGGCGTGGTGTCAACTTTTTCAATAATTTTATAATTGATTTTGGTGGACTAAGAGTTACTCCAGTTCAGTTCAAATAGACATCTGTTCTGTTTTTCATTCATTTACCGAAATTCGTTCCAGTGGGCTAGTAAAATTCTAGATGTCTGTTTCATATCCGAAATGTGCATTCGATAACTTGCGTAACTTTGTATATCGATGTGCAGTAACTTAGTTAATCATGCCTCCAAGATCAATATAATAGGATCCGCTTAAAACTCATATTGTTGAACTGTGATCGAAGAATTCTGATTTCTTAGCTTAGAAACTATTCAAATTAGTGTGAAATTTAACTTTTCTTATATATTTATTAGACTTGTGTAGTTTATTTTGTGACAGATGAAAGAGAATATAAGTCAAAGCAGAATAAGGCAAAATTATGAAAGTTTTCAATGCAATATTTGTAACTTTCATATGAGATATTCTTTCATCAGACTGTAGGTTAGCACGATAAATCTGGGATATGGTCGTACATATGAAAAAGCAAACAAACATTGATAGAGCACTAACCCAGGGTATCCTCCAACTACTTTTTAGGATCTCTTCAGCTGACAGCTAAAGGGAAAATTCAAAACTATTCAGTCCAAGTGTTCTGAGGGCTACACAGAACGTTGTGCTAGACTCATTATAACAAGACAATGTATTCGACATAAAAAAAGAAATAAAATAGTAAGATTGTGAAATATTATTAGCAAAACAAAGCAAGTGCTTCGAACGCACGCTCCCTAGACAGAAACAGACTCTTTGACATGCTGCTGGGCTGCTATTGTCGTAGATTATGATTGGTATTAGGGGAGATAATATATTTCAAACTGAAAACTTGCAAAGTTGAATTTCAAGTTTCAAGTTTCAGCTTTCAAATACATAAAATCATTCTCCCGGCGCGACTACCGTAGAAACAACGATAATTGAAATCTTACAGTTGAAAATTAAATAGTAGGTATTCAACTTAGTTTAACTTTCAATTTTGACACTACTGGTGGAGGAGAGCGCTCTTCATTTACTGAACAAGCGGCTTTGTTCCGTGTCATACTTTAATTCAGTAGGGATTATACTGACAGCTTCTCTATTCGAAACTGTTAATTTATAGAAATCAATGTTTTTCTTTTGTATTTGAGAACAATTTGGGAACTAGTTTCGCTTCTTTTGTTACAGTTTATTATCACACAAACAAAAAATGACCAGGTAAATGCTTGTTTGTACTGTAAAGTAATATTTATTCAAATTTCTCTCCCTGGAACATATTAATATTTTTGAAAAAAACGAAAAGAACAGTCCTACAAATTTTATCACATATGTAACAAAGGATTTCCAATCCAATCGATTGATATTTTCTGAGTAAAGTGAAAGACATAAGTGAGATTTTAAGTGAGATACTCTTTCTAGCATGGAAAATCAATACAGCATAGAACTATAGTCATTACTGCAAATTAGACTTCAGATTTTGTTAATGAATAATATACTTTCACATGTTATTGAGCATAGTGAATGCGATAAGATCGGCTTTGAGTACATTGCTTTTGTTTGTTAGACTTGCATGATTCCCTCGTGAGGTTGTATGAATTGGCTTCTGTGGTTCTCGAATTGTATTGATTTCTCCAAGTTATATTGACGCTGTACTACCGATCCCTAGGCATTGATCGAAGTTATTTTCGTGATGGAATCGATTAGTTGTCACAACTCGAGTGTCATTTTATGAGTTGCTCCAAAACTATGCAGGTTTATTCTAGAACTTAAGTTGATCGGATTCAGCATAGTCGATCACATGTAGAAAAGACGCTTATTTCAGAAACTATGAATCAATTGTATTCACTGTGTAGTAACGAAGTCAGTTGGAGAGAGCTGAAATTATTGCCGCTGAAGGATTCAATCATTTCCAGGAACTGAGGGAAATCATTGTGAGCTCCCTCGTCGAGATTAAGCCCTAACGCAGGCAAAGATTCCTGGCTTCGACACTAACAAACGCGAGATTATAGGGTGATCACTTTTTTTGAGTTATAGGCTTTTCGAAACAGAGACTACATTGCACCGAAGTTGTCTAGTTCGAGTTCGGTTCTATTTAGCTTGAACGGAATAAAACCAACTAGGTTTGGTTCGAGTTTGAATTCTACATTCGTCATTCTTACTTACCATTGAATTTACGGGTGAAACAATCACTGATATAAGTCAGTTCAAGTTCTATCCAGTTTGATTAAAGGTTGAACAGCTATTATTTGTCAATAAAAAGAAAACGAAGAATATTTAATATATAGGACGGAAAAAGCAGAAAGTACTCTAAAACAGGCTTGAAAATGGGCGATTTTTTTCAATTGCACTGAGCTGTTCGGTTGTATGTATTAGTTGAACTGAAAGAAATCTAGAGAAAAAATGGTAAGTTTAAATATATCAATTGAACTATTAGTTGTTCGAAGAAAATGTTTATTATTACAGCTTCAAGAAGATATACAACATGAAACTCATATAACTGTTGGAGTTTCTAATAATAATTCCCTCTATTTGAATCTATCGCGTTCTTTTTATGCTAGCGACATGAACTGAAGAAGAACTCTTTCATAACTTCACACTTACTAGCGTACAGCAACTGATATTCTACAATATATATGCTTTGTATTGTCTAGTTTTTGCCAAAACAGGATATAATTTTCTATAAGAATTTATGAGTTGGACGTTGTTTTATTTGAAACCACGATTTGAGACAACTGTAGGTTTATCATTCGTAGAAGGCTACTACTACTGTTAGAAAGACAAAATGACCTACAAGGTTCGATTTCGATACCAGGCTGCATATTTTTAGGTTTCTTAATAACTAGATATTATCATAGTTGTATGAGGTAGTAGTTGGCTAAATTTCAACAACAATACGAAATCTTTTCCAATATCTATGCAACGAAAACATGAATTGAAACAATTATTTCTTGAGAGTTTTTTGATAATCGGTTACAAGCAGCACAGAGAAGTGAGTTCGAAATTTTAAAGTAGAAAATCTTTAATTAATAGTAACTATAACTTCTAATAACTGATTAACTTTTTATGACTATGATTAATGTATTCAGCATAATTCGAAACCTCTCTTGTACTATGAGAACACGTGAGTTCAAAATGTAAAGCAGAGATTTTGATGGCGAGTAGAAATTTGTCACTTGGAATCTGTGCACTCATATTGTTGAACCATTAAAACTGTAAATGGACAAAAAAGAGCATAACAGACTAGCTGCAATAGTCTAAAATTCATTATAACAACGGCAAAAGAACTGGTAAAAACCAGCCGATTGTAATGGTTCAATTCAGCCGAACCAATAACCGACAAATCGACCCTTTGATCCCAAGCTTGCTCTAAAATCTTTTATTTCAATTATTACAATGTGTTCTTTGTCATTTTTTTTCACACTAGGTTTCTTTCATGAACAGTCACGACCGGATCGTGATGAATATATTACAGTCTATTATGAAAATATAAGACCAGGTAAGAAATCAATCTTTTTATGATATTATTTGCTATTCGAATATCATAAGATTAATAACTATCTCTTGTCTTATTTAAGGCATGGAACACAATTTTGTAAAATTTAATAATAGCTTTGTAGATACGCTGAATACATCGTATGATTATGCATCAGTGATGCACTATCCAGCTAATGCATTTTCTGTGAATAATCGTTCAACAATCGTGCCACTTCAACCAAACGTTACAATTGGTCAACGTGTCAATTTAAGTTCAATCGATATACTAGAAGTTCGAATACTATACAACTGCCCAACCTCCGGAGTTACATTACCACCAACTACGACAACTACAACAAGTAATGAGTAATGAGTTAGTTCTATTCGAGCATTCTTGTAGAATGAGTCAACGTTGAATACATATCACAGAGAAACTGTATACACATACAAAGTGCATCGTCTAGATGAAATTCCGCTTCAGCTATGAGGCACTAACTTCACAAGACTTTATGACGACAGCAAATTGAATAATATAAATGAATTGAGACGGATTCTAAAAAGTAATTGATTATATTAGTCATCAACATTAGGATAGTGCAATCGTACGTGCGAGTTACCTTCTTTTACAGCACTTAGAAACTATTTTCCAATTTATAAGCTCCTATTTCTTTCGAACTCATACTGATCATCAAAGATTATACAGTTGATTAACCTAAAGTTTTATGATAAGTATCTCATTGAGAAACTTAATGGTTGGTGCTTGACCAGAACATACATGAATAATACAGCTTTTTCAGAAAGCTGTTAAATTTTATGGAGCTTCCTTCAATGATCAACTGAACAACATTTTATGAATGCACAATAATGAATTCCCTGCTATATTTTATATAGTGTGCCTAAAAATCTCCCCACAAAACGAACTGATCAAGGCTGTAAAAAGCATTTAAGTGGAGCAAAAGCTTTAACTTTTTTTCTCCTATTTGAATACATTTTATACTTTATTAGTCGATTGAAAGGATTTCAAAGTTGAAGTTATTTTAATCCGCTAATTTCATATTTTGTGTCGGGAAGATGCCATTAGAACTGCACAATGCTGGAATTCATCCTATAGAGACTAAGTTCAAGCACGGAATAGTGGTTTTCATAAGCAAGCTTTTTCTTTTTTTTCAAATAGCCTTTGCGTACGTGGTCAATACGACTGCCACCTCGGAGTTCACTTCGAATAGTCCAACATATCATCGCCCGGGTGCTGCAAATCCAGGCCAGTACTATGATACGTTCGATTTGACAGTATTGGTGGATGGTAATTACACCATCGGAAGCAATAGCACTTTTGATACATATGGCTCTTTATATAATGGCAGTTTCAATTCAGCTTCTCCAAATTCGAATCTATTGATTGGCAACGATGATGATGGCGATAACTTACAGTTTCAGTTCACGATGTATCTTAAGTCTGGTGTTCAGTATATTTTGGTTGCTACAACTTATCATGAGAACGTCACCGGACCCTACACAGTCACAGTGTTTGGATCAGTGGGAGTGCATCTTATTCGAACAACCGTGATGGTAACCCCACAAACAACTATCATGGTGACGACAGAAACAACTTTGACAACGAAAGATATTTACACTACTGAATCAACCAGTAAGTGAACACATCTAGAAGCAGAACTGAGATCTCAGTGTGATTTTCTTTTTTGTGTCGTCGATTTGGGTTACTAGTTGCAAAATGTTGTCGCGAAAAGGTAGAGCCAAATTTTATCATGTGCGAATAAAGTTGTATTTCAGGACTGTTTTTGAGTTTTGAAGAAAAAAAACTATTTTATCCAAATCAATGAATGCTGGTATTTATTAGTAATTCAAATTTCTTAAACTAGTGCAGTCAGCAAGAATTTTTCTCCGTCGACATAATTGTCAATGTCGAAATTAGAAGAAATACAATTTTTTGCTCATATTCGCCGAAAATCTCAGGTTATTGAACTTCAAAAGTATAAGCACGATATTGTATAGTGACATGGTCTTTAGGTCGCATTGTGGACAAAGAATCCAGTAATGAAATATATAGTGTTTATCTACGTTCTCATGAAAATATTGTCAAATCAATTAAACTCAAAAACTACCATGTATCGATTGATATTGACATCGTTTTTTGATCTATGTGTTCGTTTAGGAACCAATGTATATTTCCATACTCACTATAACATTATTGGACATTCTTGACTGAATTTCGCGAAAGAAAAATATTGTTTTCCATTAAAATTTCTTATTTATTGAACTTTTTTTCCCATAGCTACTATGTATTTGGTCAATACGACTGCCTCATCATCATGGAGTTGGAATAATCCTACATTTAATCGCCCTGGTGCTTCATCCGGAAACCAGTACTATGATACATTCGATTTGACGGTGTCGATGGCTGGTTATTATGCCATCGGTACCAATAGTACTATCGATACCTATGGCTACTTATATAATGGTAGTTTCAATCCAGCTTCTCCAAGTTCGAATTTATTGATTAGCAACGATGATGATGGCGATAACTTCCAGTTTCAGTTCACAATGTATCTTTATCCTGATGTTCAATACATTTTGGTTCCCACAACATATTCGGGAAAGGTCACTGGATCATACATACTGATAGTAGCTGGACCAGACCGAGTGAGTCTTGTTCGGACAACTATCCCGGTAACGACAACGACTACTATACCAACTCGTAAGTGAACATACATGGGGATACAATGGAAATCTCTTCGTGATTTGTTTTGTCTTAACTATTTGCTTTACTGATTGCAAAATGTTATCGATTATAAGTCATGAACATTATTTACCATAAAGAAAAAGTCGTATCATTAGACTTCTTTCGAGTCTCGAAAAAAAATTTTCTGATCTATTCAAATCAATGTATGTTCGTATTTATCAGTAATTGACATTCATCACAGTAGCGTAGTCATTGAGAACTTTTCTTCGTCGACACTATTGCCAATGTCGAGATTAGAAGAAATTCATTTGTTTAGGTATTTTCACTGAAAATCTCAGCTTACAGGAAATCAAAACTATAAAGACGATTTTCTAGAGTCACGTTGTCTCTGGATTGCATTATAGACAAAGAATTCAGTGATGAAAGTGACAGTTCTTATCTAGGTTTTTGTGAAAGTATTTAACAGAGTAATTTTACTCGAAAATCACCATGTGCTGATTAATATTGACGTAGTTTTTGTTTTCAAATATTGGATGACGACTGAGACGAAAACTATCTTATCGAAAAGTGTTTCTTCGTTTCATGGAAATGTCTTATGATTATGGGCTTTGATTTATATAAAAGAATGTATGTAATTGTATTGATATTTTTGATACTTAAGTCTTTATATTATTTCAATGTAACACAGAATAATAGGCACAGGCTCAAGCTGGATAAGTTTCCTTCTATTTATTTGAAGGCGTTCATGTTTTAGTGGCGTCTCATCAAAAGTTTTGTCCATGAATTTAATTGGGCTCAATATGTTGAAGTATCGCACTAGTAATAATCGAGAAAAATTATCGGGCATGTCTTCATGATGTTCTAAACACATCTCTGAGCAAGAGATTTGAGTCAGTTTTGATGGTGTTTTCAAATTTTTCTCGAGTTTGATTCGAAAAGTAGATAATTCTAGACAAGTTTTGTATTAGTTCTTAAATATTTCGTAAGAGAATATTGAGAATAAGTTTTGCATGATATAGTAAAAAAATTTATACCGCAATCGTCTTGCCTGCTTTGAAAAGATAGGGTTCACTGCGTAAAGGTTAAAAATGCTTGGATGTCGAGATGTTGGCGAAGGTTCACGATGGTCTAGGGGGTATTGCAACATTTTGATTGTCGGACTCGATAGAGCACGTGCTAGATGTGTCTAGGTGTCTTCATCATGGATAGACTAGTTCCATTGTTTTCATATTTCAATCTCATAGAGATCGTGCTCAAAGGTGTTTTTCAAAGGTTGATACTATAGTTTCCGTAAGGATCGTGTCAAATGTTTCTTTGTTGGATATTTTCGTGAAAAAATTCATGATCTTTTATTCGAACTCGTTCACATCTGTATTCTAATTTTCTGATTAAAAATTCATTCAATTGCACTCGTCTCACTTTTCTCATGGGGAATATCATCTCTTTTTGAGTGATTCACGAAATACTTCTATGATATTCTAATGATAAGCTGTTCAGTAATCTATCAAGAGGCATTTTTAAAAAATAAAAGTCGTTTTTCTCTTTCATCTAATAGCCATCACGTATATGGTAAATACGAATGTCTCGTCGTCGTGGACTTCGAATAGCCCAACATATCATCGCCCGAATGGCTCACGTTGTAGCTATTACGGAACATTCGACTTGTCTGTACCAAAATCTGGATTCTACAGCATCTCTGGCAATAGTGCTATTGATACTTATGGTTACTTGTATTCTGGATGTTTCATTCCAACCTCTCCAGATTCGAATTTATTGAATTCTGATGATGATAGTGGTGGAAATGGACAGTTTCGGCTCGTGATGTATCTTGAACCTGATGTTCTATATATTTTGGTTACTACAACATATGCTGGCGACGATATTGGACCATACACAGTAATCGTATCTGGATCAACAGAAGTGAATCTTGTTCAAACAAACAACGGATCAACGTCAAACTCTACTACACAAACGAGTAAGTGATTATATGCAAAATAACTGTTTGAATGGTTAAGCATATTGAATTAAAAAGGTTGAATTTGAAAACTTTTTCCAGGATGACTATAAGGAGAATCTTTTTTCCAAAATAGATAGATGACTCTTCATGGGCTGTCTCATCTGGTTAGCAAGTAAATATTCCGTGCAACAGAAAGGTCTTCATTTTGTGAAGCTATGCGACATGCGTCCATCGTCAAACAATTGTCAGAGGAACATTAAAAGATTTTCAAACTTCAGCTTTGTGACTGCACACTACTTAGTAGGTATCAGTATTTTTGTCTAAGATTTTAAAAACATGTCCAGTATCAAAGATTTGAGCCATATTTACGCAAGTTGTCGATCTGAGACTGGATTAAAAAGATAGATAGAGCACAGACATCATCGTTATCTAAAATCCGCAAGTAGCTTGAAAAGCATCAGTATTTATCAGCAAGCTTCGGAAGAATTCAAACGAGACTTTATATAAATAAATTTATTTCGCTTAATATAGATAGTAGAATAGTTTTCGTGAACATAAATTACAGATTTTCTTTCCATAATTGAAATAATCTATTATTTATGAATGAAAACAGTTTTTGTTTGTAATCATTGATTACTATATTCGACAAGCTTAACTTATAAGCAGTCAAAGAGGTAATCAATTCAAACGAATTAAGACGGATTTATTCAAT